TACTTGGGGTGCTCCTGACCTAACCCTGTCTGGCAAGAAGGTAATCTGTGCATTGACAGAGAAGTTCTGCCCCAAGGAGCAGCCAGAAGATCTCCAGCACGTTCATCCCAGGCTGGGATCCTTCCCTTTGCAGGCAGAACACCCCTTCCTCGCTCTGGTAGGGTTGCACCCGCACCCGCTGTTTCATCCGCAGCTCCCCGCTGCCGTCTGGCGGCAAAAATGCACTACGGATCTCCCTCTCAGCCCGGGCTGCTTCTCCCAAGACGGCGCCAGGCACTTGCACAGGGCGTGTGGTTTGGGGCCCCCTTCTCGCACCCTTCCTGGCCTCTCCTGCCCTCCCCTCCCTGCAGAGCCGCTCTGAAACTCCGCCTCTTTTCTGCAGAAGAAGGCTCTGTTCTCTGCCAGGAAGGAAGGGGATAAGCAAACGCTACGGTTTGACGGCTCCAACTGTGCCTCTGGGAATGAGACGTGTCTCCAACGCTTCTCAGCCTCTCAGGAGATCCCAGCTCCTGGCAGCCCTTTACCAACATCCCCAAAAAGTGCAGGCACTTCTGAGCCCCCTGATGCCCAGTTAGTTAGTTGGAAACGGTGAACAGATTTCCACCCCCGATTGCTGGGAGCAAAGCAGCCAGGAGTGAAGGGCTTATGGGATTTGCTCCTGCTAGTATTTGTGATAAACATCTCCTAGGAAAGGATTAGTGCTGGGTCGGGAGGTGGCCCCGCGGCTGCCTGGCCTCTGGAGCCCAGCAGGAACAAAGGGTGTGCCGAGTACTTTGTCACCATGGAGTGCCCCGGCTGCCAAGCCCTGCTGTGCCCAGGGATGACAGTGAGTCCGCACAGATGTGGCAGGAGGATGGAGAGCAGGACCACAGCGAGTCCCTGCTTCATTCCCATTTTATGGACCTGTGTGCAGCAAAGGTGACCTCAGCAGGTCCAGCCTGGTGATCCTCCTGTATTTTCTTTTATTGCTGTGGCCGGTAAAACCAAAACAACATTACAGCGCTGTGGGCATTCCCTCCCTCCTTCGAGTGGTTACAGAAGTAAATTTCCTTTCATTCATTTGTTGTCAGTCTGAGCCCTTGCCTGAAAGCATCTGGTAATGGGCAGAAGGTGTGTGCTGTGGAGATGTACTGGAGGTTTCTTTCATGAACATATCTGTGTTTATATTGTATCTGACCCAGGAGGTCCCTGAAGTGTAGGGTGAACCTGAGATGCAGCCTGTGAGGTCTGTGTTATCTTTGTAGGCATCTGGAAACCCTTTGGATGGGAAGCCAAGGCTGTCCACATCACCGACAAGCACCCACAAGATCCCTGAAGTCCTCCCTGGCATCAGACAAAGGGCTCTGATCTGGAGCTACTTGTTCAAGACAAAGTGGAGACAAAACCTTCTGACCGTATTCACACCAAACATTAATGCCCATCCTGACTCATTCCAAAGGAATACCAGAGCCTTTCCTCTGGGCTTCCCTGCCGAGTGTGGGCCTTGCTTCCACTGCTATTTGATTATGAGGCAGTGAAAGGAAATGATGCTTAGAGTTATTTCAGAAATCAAAGAAGAGCACTTCAATTGCCTTTTTGGCCTCCCAGTGATTAAAAGCAAGGGTGTGCAGGCAAGGCTGGTATTTAACACTGTTTCTAGTAATTCGATCTTTTACACAATTGTATCATGCAACCATTTCACACCCTAAAAATAAACCCAGGTGGTTTTAAAGCAAGTCCTTTGTCCCAGTGTGGGATTGGTCACTGCATTGTGACTGCTGAGAGCTGGTTTCTCATGTTTGGCCAAAGATCTCTGTTCTTGACACTTCTCAAAAACCTTCAGGAAGAGTAAATTTTTCTAACCTACAGCCTCTGTCTGCCTGTCTGTCTGTCTGTCTGTCTTGGCTTCCCAGGAAACAGCCCCTCACTGCCTGCCTCTGTGGGCCAGTACCCCAATAGCTGGGGAAGCTGAAGTCGCTCAGAAGGTCCTGGAAGAAGATCAGTGCTAGGATGGGTGCTTTGTCCCAGTGGCACCTCTGAGACTGCTCTTAGCCCCGCTTTGCAACTCAGGAGCTGGGACAGAAAGAGAAAGGCTCAGAATGAGTCTTCACTTCTGGTATCTTAAATGGTGCCCCCTAACTTGAGATAAGGTAGGAGTTATCTGCCCTTGCTGGGGGACAGCAGGGCTGGGGCAGCTTCACGCAGCGTCTGGGCTCCACATGAGGCCAGAGGAGTCACACTCCTGTGCACCTCTCCCCAGGGACTGTCCCCAGTACAGCTCCCCCTGCAGCTGCCATCAGTGTCAAGTACTCACAGATGAGCTTGACCTCGGCCAGGCTCTTGACACGCAAATGCTACAACAAATGATGGCCAGTAACCAGAAACGCATCTGCTCCCACACCCGTATCTTGACCTTGTGACCCTGGTCTCTCTCCCTGGTCCTGTGCCAGCTGGAGATGTGGAGGTTGGCTCTGTTTCATTTCTCCTTCAGATTTGGGAGAAGTAACAGAGCCTGTTTACGTTCCTCTGGACTCAGTGATTTCTGTGACGTGAGCAGCCTCTTCACTCTGCTCACACTGTGCTTGCAGCCTCACAGTGTGTGTGCCCCTCGCTGGCACCATCCCCAGTACCTGGGCTCTGTTCCCTGCCCAGCACACCACTCAGGGCATCTTTTGGGGGCGTGACAGCAGAAGAGTTTAAAAGAACAGCAGTCCAAGTGATGACCTGCTCTCATCTGCATCATTTGCCTTTGGTTCATTCCAAAGACATATTTCAAAACTTTGACACCTCTGACGTCAGAGGAGCTCTACAGAAACATCCGTTTGTTTCCCAGCACATCCAGCTGCACTGTCCCCAGCACCTTCTGCCCTCAATGGGCATCATCCCTTGTCCCATGCTGATGGCTGGACACTCTGTGGCCTCATCCTCCGTGTTTGTCTGGCCGAGCTATGGCCCAGGTTTATGAACAGGGTGACACAAGGCAGGACACTCAGCAGGGCTCAGGTTCCACTGGGTGCAGTCCCGCAGCACTAAGCAAGGAGGGAAGAGCAGCTCCATGAGGACCTGCTGCAGACCTCCCTCCAAATCACCCCCTTTCCCTTAACCCCATGTGGGACAGGACTGTGGTGTGAAAAGTCACTGTAAGGCAGAGGGACCACTGCCCTCCTGATTGCCCCATCCCTGCAGATATGACCTTACACAGCATCACCTCCCCACTTCAGAAGAATTCCCCTGACTCTGTGTCTGGCAAGCCAAGGGTCTCTCCTTCACAGGAGACCTATCAGGAACTCCAGTCTCCTCCCTGGAAAATGTTTCCTTAGAGCTGCCTGCACTCTGCCCCTCTCCAATGCCCTGCCCAGCGCTCCCTCATAACCAGGTAGTGCTGGCCTGTATCTGGCTTTCTGTACAAACAGGATAGAAAGGCTGAATAGTTCCATTTCTTCACCTCTATAATTTAGAAAAAGAGAAGCTGTGCTCCATGACCCCTCTTCAGACTTTGATGTATTTTGATGTACTCTGTAGCCTTGCAATTTTTCCCCCATATCATTATGGGATAATACTAAGTGTGTGTTAACATAAGAGCTGCCAAAGATGTTTGAAAGGCTTGTTTGTCCCTCTGCAAAGGGAAATCCTCCCCCTCCCTGCCATATGCACTTACCGCTCCAGAGATTTATTGTTCTTCGAACTACTCAGAAGTGCAGTTGCCTTTCTTGCATTGTTCTGTTTTATTTATTTGCTATTTCTGACATTCTGCTGAACAGGGAGTAGGAAAACTGGCAAAACATATGAAGACGACTTTTCTTGTGTGACAATAACACAAGGCAGGGCAAGAGAGGGATGTAATTAATATTTTTAACATATGTCGATCATAAAAGAAGGAGTATTATTCATTTGCATGTATCAATGCCTTTTGATGATGGGTTAAGTGGTGAATTTTGGCATTGCCTTTGTACTGATGTGCCCTCCAGTCATATTTAATATGCATACAGATAAAGGTCACCAAATTCCATTAGAAGAAAGCTTTTTCAAAAATTTCTCCAAACTATCCCTAACTTAGTGAGTATATATACTCATTTATATAGTTTTCCACAGACTCAGCTTTCCATCTTGCTTTTTTGGAAAATTACTTCTGATGTTTTTCCTATTTAAAGTCAATCATCTCTTCACCCTCACTGGGATGAGAAGCTCTGTAAGCAGTGGTCCTGCTCCATGTGGCAACATTCCAGCTGCCCAGGGATTGGTTTAGCCCTTCGAAATCTCGCTATAACTGAACACTTGAGAACATTTATGTGACCTCTTTGATATGCCACAGATATATAAATGTCAGGAATGTCTGCCCGAAATCAGTCTGGATAAACAGGCTGAGGCACATCTCTGATGCACACTGAGTTTGTACTCCGAGGGATAAATCACACAATGCCAGCCAGGATGCTGGTGGCAAAACCAACCACCTGCTCTTTTGCTTTGTGAAAGGAGGATCCTCCCTACAGATGCACATCTTAGGGAGGCATGGTAATTCTTGTCATGCCAAGGTTTTGTGGTTATTTCAAAATGCAAAACCCAGGAAACATCTCAAACCTCTCAGGAGGTCTGAGCCAGCTCATGCCTTCCTGGGAGCCCTGGTGGGAGCTGCAGAACAGAAATTGTCAGCAGCTGTCCCCGCTTCCTGGGAACGTGTGGTCAGCTATGTCTCCCTAAGGGGTGAAATAATGAATTGGCTTTTTCTTGCTATGTTTTGAGCCTTTCCTTCCTTTTATGCCTGTAAAAGCCAAGAATTCTAGGAAAATCTCAACATGTGTTGGTCTGAGCTCACAGAAGCCTTCCTGGGTGTGGGAGGTCAGGAGAGCACGTCCCCAACCCCACCATCTCAGTAACAGCTGAGGAGCTGTTACTTGAACAGACTGAGTTGCTTGGGACTGAGCTCTCTTTATTTCTCTCGAACTATAAAAACACTTCCTGTGAGAAGAAATTCTTTTGAATGAACCCTCCCATCTTTTTTTCTATGTGGCAGTAATTATTCTTGAGAGCAGTTCCACAGTCACACATTTGGATGTACTCAGTGGCTGCAAAAGAATTCAAAGGGAAAGGAAGGAAAAGTCCGACCTAGATTAGAAAATACGTCCATATTTGTACAATACAATTGGAAGGACAGAGGCTCCTTCGCGCTTCACAGCTGAAGGGTAAGTTGCTCATCTGAAAAATGTTCCCCCTTCCACTGTCAGGAAGCTCTTGGCATTGTAGGCTGCTGAAATACCTTTCTAGGGGAGGTTACTGCAGGTAGCAGTGCTGGACTCAGTGCTGCTGGCTTCTCTTTGCTCTGCTGCTGCTGCAGGGTAACGGGTCCTGCAAACTCTCTGGGTGTTTAAAACTCCTCTAAGCCTTTTGTGTTGATCATTTTTCTTCCCGAGGTTATTTCTTTAATCCCTGTCAGTGTTGCAATCCAGCTCACAGTGTCTCCCTACTGTGGTAATTAATGAGGAGGGAGAAAGGATTATTGGCTGCAATAAGAGGTGGCATAAACAAGCAGGGGCACAGAGAAATGCCTGCCGTGACGACTCGCTGGGAGGTGCGAGGACTTTGGTCCGGTGCTAGTCCAGCCTCCCTGTGGCAGGACCATGTTCACACAGTGTAACTTGGAGTGGAGAGCTGGGAAGTGGGAGAGAACATTTCAGTAGCTCCTGCTCAGAAAACCCACCCCAAGGTGCACCTGGGATTCAGGACTTGCCTTGGCTTAGGAGGAAATTTGGCCGCGTCAGCCTCGGTAGGTGAGGTTTTGCGACGTGCTGTTGTGTGCAGGGTGCTGAGGCTGTCCACCAGTGACAGTCCCCCCACCGAAGGGCGTTTGGCACTGGGGGAGGGTACTTGTTCAGGAGGTTTGCCTGTTCTTGCAAACACCAAGTGAGAATGGAAGATAAGCAAGTTCTGATGGTGACAACCAGGGACAAGAAAAATGCGTCCTTTGGGAGTTTAAAATCAGCTTGAAAAATCATGCATACGAGGGAGGGAGGAGGAGGGGAGAGACATCTGTGTTTGTTTATTCATTCATATTTCTACTGGCCTTCATTAGACTATGCTAAATTATGATGGTAGAAGAATTTTGTGTCTAACGATGATCTGGAGGGCGGGTGCGTTCTGTGGAAGCCTGTACAGCTACTCCTGGCTCAGATTCCCTTACACTCCACTGTCATCTGATGGAGGTGTAAGCTCAGATCTTTTGTTTTGCTTTGTATTTTCTTTTGTTAGTGGGCTGTAATCAGACAGGAGCAGAGGGAAATAAAACATTATTAAGCACTTCGAAACCTTTGCCCTTTCTGAACCTTTTAAAAAGGTTCTATTCTGAGGTGAAAGAATTAATCTTAGAGCTGGTGCATGAGAAACAGAGTGGGGTATGTTTGATATTTGGAGCAACACTAAGCTGAGACACTGTTACAGCCATTTCAGGTGCCTTATAACCCATACAGAGGTAGAAAACCAGACCCCCTATTGCTTCTTAGAAAACCTATCAAGGACATCAGGCATAAAATGTAATTCCTGTAACCTGCTTTAATGTAGTTTTCTATAATAGTGGTGTTCAACGATCACTTTGCCTTAACCTGCTTTCCTTTTTCCCTGGTCTGATGGGAGAACTCTTTGAGTGAAGGGAGAGGAAGGAAACAAAGCTGGCTGTCCCAGCAGCTCCAGGCTGTGCTTTGTGCTGTTAGAAGGGAACTATCGAAGTGGGTGTCTCCTGACATGTGAAAACATCATTTTCCTTTTGCTATATCCTAATGAATTCTGCAGTTTTTCCCCACACAGAACTTTCTCTGGTGCTTACAGGGAGAGTTTGTTTGGCTGAGGATTGATCAGAAGCCTTAAATGCACAGCTTCCAGTCTTTCCAGTACGAGGGCTGGCTCTAAAGCCTTCTGGGTGCCTGATAGTTGTTCTGCAGAACCCATCCCCAAATAAAGTGTGCAGGACAGATCTAGAGATTTTTATGCTTTTATCACATCCTGAATTACTCTTGCAGAGGGTTTTTCATGCAGGGGTTTAATTTGACGCTGTCCCAGCGTTGTGGCCATAAGTCTTTCTCCATACCCAACACACGATATCCAGAGTGTGTGCAGGGATATGTACACAGAGATATGTACCTTGGAACACTGCCTGTCCTGGTGCTCTGGTGGGGCACAACAGCCCAATTGGTTTCTCCTACAACATCAAAGACAGGGACGTGCCTTGGCGTGCATTTTAAAGCGGATGCCCCTGGGGAAGCAGATCACCAGCCTTTTGAAATTTGTCCATCCATTCAGCTCTCAGTTCCCTTATCTCTCACACCTTCCCTCTCTGCTTTTCCACTGCCTCATAACCCATTCTTGGAAAAGGGCAGAACGGAAATACTCCTTTAGGCCTGTCTCCACTGATTTCCATTTCCACAGTGCATATGATAACAGCAAGTCAGACTCCTCCTGGGTGTGAGTACCACAGGCTAGATCTTCCCTTTGTTTGCTCAGTTAGACCAAACCTATGCTGCCAGCTACCACTGCCAGCTGCCACATTAGCAAAGACTAAACCTGGCCAGAGGAGCTTCTAAGCAAGAAATCACATTTTCTAGGGCTTGGAAGAGTCAGTATGTTGGATCAGATTCATCTGCTCGCTGCCGTGACGGTCCTGGGAGTCCTGGAGCAAGGTAGGGACCGTTGGATGCACATGGTCAAATACTCACTGCAATCTACTGCAACTCCACTGATTTTCTTTCATTTTCATATTTAATGTCTGCTGTTGCACTGGCACTTTTCTGCTTTTCAGGCAGTAAACTGATATCTTATCTGGGTTTTTGGAAAATATTTAACCAAATGAGTGCCTGGGAAGCCTTTCCTCTGAGATGGTCTGCCTCCTTCATTCGGGAATTTCTTGGTTGATCTTTCCCTCTACAGACATGTAGAATTTCTTTCACTGGGTTTACAGCAGTTCATGGAGTGTGTGAAGTTATGAGCATACAAAGAGCTCTGCAGTGTGGAGATGTGGAAGGAGGGGCCGTAGGGGGTCACACAGAACCACCCAGCCATGGTTCCACATTGCATGACAACTTAATTCAGTGTCTGGGTGATTTATCTGTGGCATCAGTTCTGTCCTTACTCACTCAGAACTTGGAAAGAGGAAAAAAATGAAAGATTGAAAAGAAAATTGTGAGTAACAAAGTGCATCAGAGTTGTGTAACAGTTTCTGTGGAAATGAGGATATCTTAATTACACAAGAGAGAAAGCAGATAATACCTCACTGGTGATACATGACTGCATACTCCTCACTTTGCTGTTGCACTGGGTCATTCCTTTTCCATACCTAAAAGGCATCTGGGATTTTAGTCTAACTTTCTCTGCTATGCTGGGTTCTGGGGTCAGGAGGAGCCTGAAGATCTTTTTCCTCAACCTCTGGCCATCTCCTGACCCCACTGTGCCCAACCACAGGACTGACCACTGCTACTTTTCTCTCTTTTGCTGCAGCCTACTTCTTCCTCCAGGTGATCTATGCCAGGAGGTTGTTTGGCATTTCACCTCCAAAGACCTCAGGCCCACCCGAATTTGAGAGGGTCTTTCGAGCACAGTAAGAACCTCCTTCTACCTGATGTTTGCCAGATCTCATGTGTAGTGGCACTGCCTTTCCCCAGCTTTGCCATTCCTTTCTCGGGCCTGTAACTCAGCAGTTACTCACCTCTCTCAGGGTTAGTTAGTGGGTTGAAGAGCCAACATCAAGACTGGGCTGGCTCTTGAGTCCTAAACCAGCCATTGCTGAGAGAAATCACGTAGCAATCTGCTGTGCAGTGAAGGGCTGCTAAAGACAGTTCTTGGTCCACGAAGCCAAGCTGCTCTGGCCTTACCTGCTTGAGGGGCAGACCTTCCCTGCAACTCTTCCCTGGGCCTTTGGGACATTGATAGAAGGGTTTGGGTTGTGGCACTTGGGAAGGGGGAGTGGGGATGGTTCACAAAGCCTTTCTGTGCATAGTCTGACCTGGGCATCTTTTGCTTAATTTTTTTGTGCCCTGGAGACCCAGTTCCTTCCACTGTCTAATTTCTGTGAATAAAGCTGGGACAGGAACTGTGGGGAAAGGTGCAAACCTGGAGGCTTCTTATGGCAACATCTCTTCTGAAAAACAATAGCCTCCAGCATCTGAAAACTGCTTGGGGAACTAAAAAAGGAGGAGCTTCCTTCTTTCCTTTGTTTATGACCTTCCTCTTTCCTGCCAGGGTGAACTCCTCTGAGTATTTTCCCATTTTCCTGGCACTTCTGTGGCAGGCTGGACTCTTCTTCCATCAAGGTGAGAATATCCTATTACCTGTTTTGTCACTGGATCTGTTCCCTTAAGTGCTGGCTCAGTCCTCAGGTCCTGCTCACCTTCTGAACAATAAATTAAGCAGTAATTCTGACTCTGAGGGAGGGTAAAGCCAGAGGACATAGAATCTCTATTCCTTCACTTTGGGCTACCTCTGTGGCTCCAAGTGGCTCCAAAAAGCTTTTGGAGCTGGTGACTGTGATCTCTCTTAACCACAGGTCTGGCTGCAGCCTTGGGTCTGCTCTATCTCTACTCCCGCTACTGCTACTTTACGGGATACAGGGCATCATCTTCAGAAAGGTAAACACCTCTGCCAGAGCCTGGAGTGCCTGGTAACCCCTGGGGAGTTGTATTTGGGAACATAATGTGCTTTGGGGGAGCTCAGGACTCTCGGATGCTTCAGTGTTCCTGCATGACTCAGCCTTGTCTCTGATGTGTAATGCGGGCATGGATACAGGGCCGGTGGCAGCTACACATATACGGGGCAAGGCTGGAGCTGCACCGAGCCCTTTTGGAGGGTTTGTACTCCCTGGAGGCAGGAGCAGGGCATGGCACCCCACCCAGGGGGCAGGGAACAGCCAGGGGCTGCCTTTCCACCCTGCTTCTGCAGAGAGGAAGGGACCATTCCCAGGCAGGATACTCGGTCTCACCATCCTGCCTCTCTCCCACCAGGATCGCCGCCATATACTTTTCCACTGGAGTTCTCTGGATTCTCGTTGCAGTGTCTTCCCTGGGCATCCTGCATTCCTTGCTCTCCCACTACATGGGGCTGAATGTCCTGCAGCTTCTCACAGCGTGAGCCAGTCCTCTGTCCTTCATCAGTGTCCTCACCTTGGGGTCCTGCTCCCTCCTACCCTCCAGTAACAGACCGGCTGCAACTCACATAGCCCCCAGCAACAAATCCACCCTCACCTGAGATATTATCACCACCCTTCTCCCTGCCCAGCACCAGCACCAACTGCTGAGCTCTTCAGGAGGTATTTTTGCCCCCAGGGCACTTTGTGTGCCAAGCGCTCCATATCTGGCAGCTCCGCCATGTGAAACAGCAATGGTCCAAAACAATGAGAGTTTCAGGAAAGCTGGACACATAAAAGCAAACTCTTCTCACTCTGAGCCTCCCAGTGAGCTGCCCAAGGGAACTGCCATGTGTTCCCTGTTCTCCAGCGGCTCTGCCTTCAGCCAGGGAATCAAACACAGGTTCATGCCAGTTTTCCCGAGGCCCACACCTATTAAAGGCATTTGTTTGGAATGTGATGTGGTCTGAGGCATAGCAAAAGAGGTGAGGGGCAAACAGGAGCAGCCACCAAAATGTTGTGCAAAGGTCTGTCAGTGCCCTCATGCTGCTCATCAGCCATTGCTCATCAGGCTGCACAAACTCATCACTGCTGCGTGTGCGACTTCCAACACTGGTCAGCAACAAGGTGCACAATTAAAAAGACACTAAACTTGCTGTTCTAGGTGGCTCTTTGTGAGTCTGCAGCTAGCAGAGAACAGCAACACGAGTGTTTGAATGCAAGGTGGCTGCCTTGGTTTCCCTGATGTGCAGTTCAGCGCAGCCTGCAACCCTGTGTGCCATGGGAGGAGAGCTCTGAGGAGGGAGAAGCTGATTTTTGGAGATGCTGAACTCACGGATTGGGTGCTGAGCTGCTCAGCACCAAGAAGTGGGTGGTTTGCACAGTGCTCAAGTCCCACCTGCATGAGGAAGGGCTGGATTTTCACAGGAGTCCACCATTCACAACACTGATGTTTTTGGCCACTGGTGCATTTGGTGCCCTCCTGTTAGTGACACAGCTCAGGAAACACCAGGAATGCTCCCTGTGTCGTCACAGGGGGAATTCACACCAAGCCCAGAGAGCAAAAATAACTGCACGAGCGTGCTGCCAGTCCAACCACCCTGGAAAGCCCGCTGGTCACCCCTCCCTTCACCAGCAGCAGGCATATCTAAACTGTAAGAACAAAAGGCAGGGCTTTTTGGAGGAAGTGATTAATTCTTCACGTTGTTTCCTTTCCTTCCCTGCATTTTAAATTGGCTTACCCAGCAAAACCAGCAGTCTATTTTGCTTTTGGGCTCTCCCGCCTTGGAGCCCTGCCGCTGCATTGAGGCTGGCAAACACTGCAGGGGAAGGCTTAAAGCCAGACAAAAATAACTGTACAGCACTTGCCTCCACAAAGTTTTTGGTGCAGCACGGCCCCATCCTCACAGGAACCCCCGGGTGTCACAGTGAGATAAACAACTTTTTTCCTGGCATCTTTGGTGACACACTTCCAAAAAGGCTGAGCATAGTTTAACCCTGGCTGTGCCTTAGCAAGGTCTGGAGCTAGCAAGGGAGGGACAGACACCACCTGCCCCCAGGGAGATTTCACTTAGCTTTACATTAACAGGTCCCACCATCTCTTGAAGTTGATCCCCAGTCTTCACCAGCTATTGGTGCAGGTCCTGACTCCAGGTCAAAACCCCACTGTTTGGGGTTAGTCCAAATGGGTGCTCAGTGGTTCTGCAGACACAACCTCTGTCTTTTATCCTACAACCAATTTTCTAAGCCTGCCATATCAACCTGGAGCCACTATCCACCTCAGCCCTGCTTGTGTCCACTCTGTGTGTGACAGGGCTGCAGAATGACTCAGAGGAGGGAAATTAATGATTCAGCAGTGAGTTGTAGCCAGCTTCTCCCCTTGGATGCACAGCAGACCATTAAAAATCCTGGCATGACGCAGTCAGGCTCTGGCCTTGGTAGCTGCCATCGCTGATTCTGCCACAGAAAACCTGCCAGGCACATCACTGGCCCTTCAAGCCACTGTCAGAGAGGCCATTTCATGTGTCCCGAGCAGAAGGAAAGCTGCTCCCCTCCACTAGGGCTGCTGTCATTGCTCTGCTGCTTCATCAGTCAAAGAAAACAGCTTTGCACTGGTCGATGGTTCAACCATGCAGGCCACGGGTTCGGGATTTACCCATTTCACAGTCTGCTGCCCAGCACGCTGTGCTGGTGCTCTGTGGCACCACTTTGCCCACCTGCATCTGCTGCAGAGGTGCTGAGGGGCCAGTGGGCTGGCAGGGCTGTGCTGGGGGGCTGCCCCCGCCACCCCGGGCCACTGTCCTGCTGGTGTGAAGGCCAACCCATGAACTCCAGTTTAAGGGTGATCCAACCTTCACCGGCACTGCTGCACGGTTCATGTCCAGCACTGAGGGTGAGGGTCCCTCCTGCCCCCGCGATAGGGGCCAAACTCGCGCCGCCAACCCCGCTCCCCCCGGAATTTGTGTCCCCGCTTCCCCATGGGCTTTGTGTCCACCCTGCCACGTGGGATTTGGGTCCCTGCTCCTACAGAGGGTTTGTGTCCCCACTCCCCCCTTGGGGTTTGTGTTCCCGCTCCCCCCGGGATTCGTGTCCCCACTCCCCCCTGGAATTCATGTCTCCGCTCCCCTCGGGATTCGTGTCCCCAAGGCCCCTGGGATTTGTATCCAGGTTCTCCCCCGGGATTTGTGTCCCCGCTCCGGCCGCCCCGGCCCCGCCGCTTCCTGCCGAAGCCGGGAGAGGGCGCTGGTGCCCCGCGGCTGCGGCGGGCGGGGGGTCCGGAGGTGCCCGAGGGGTCCGGGGGTCCAACAGAATCGGCCACCGCCACCCCCGTCCCGCCGCCTGTGCCGGGGCACCCCCGGCCGCACCCCAGGCATGCCCGGGGCAGCGCTCCCCGGGCAGCCGGCACGGCACTCAGGCACGACCCGCCTGCTTCGAGCGTGATCCGTGCCGGGCCAGGCGCTGGCATTAGGATTATTGGATTGGAGGAGTCCTGGAGCCGCGCAGGAATCTCCTGGAGACGCTTACGACACGCTCAAAGAGCCCCTGCAAGCGCCGTGCGGATTCCCGAGCTCCTTCCTGCTTCCTCCCTTAACGGCTGCCAGTTCATTGTCAGCAACGGGGACGAGGAAAAGGTTTGGCGTGAGGAATTTGGAAGCAAATCCACCCTGATAATACCACAGGAGAAGCAGCCAGCCGAACGGGAGGCCGGCAGAGAGCAAAGGAAACCCGTAGAACCAGCGAGAACTCTTTTTTTTTTTTTTTTTTTTAATCACGAGAAATGCAGAGGCTGAACTTGTAAACAACCCTCCGTCCCCGTGGGGCTGCTTCCCACGCGAGGGGCGGTGAAGGCACAGCATCCCATCCAGGTTCCCGGCAAGGCATTTGTATCTCGGTGCAGAATTTTGTAGCTTATTATCTTGAAAACTTCAAGGGCGCCCGCGTGTACTTTCCTACCCGTGACGTGATGGTCGGGGCCCGAGAGGTGCACAGACAGGTCTGGTGCGGGCAGCACCGCGTTTACACGTGGCCACCAGCACCGAGATACTGTGCCCTGGGACTGGGGTAAAAGGCACTCGAGCCCATGGAAGAGCTCCCCAGTCCCTCCGGAGCACGGCTTGGTGGGATGGGTGGAGGACACCCTGGAATTTCCCCGGGAAGCAGCACTGCTTACTTTCTTGGGGGAGGGGGATGTTTGGGAGGGGAACTCCCGTGGGGCTGGGAGTGGATGGTGCAGCTGGTGGCTCTGGCTTTGTGGCACTGGCATGTCACCCAGGTTTCCATAGCACCAGCATCCATAGCACGGGGCCAAGGGGAGGGAGAGAAGTAGGTCAGACAGGGCTAACAATACCCAGACGTGTCTATCTGCGGCTCAGGCTGATCCAGGAAAGGGGGTGAAATGGAGAAGAAAGGCAGAGAGAAAGAGAGGGGGGAAAACCGGAAAATTCAAAGTATCCACAGTTTGAGCAATGCATTTCTTCTCCTCAGAAAAATAAGGACCTTTTAAAGCCACCTTTGTGTATCAGCGCTGAGCAACCGAGACTAGCACCCACCTCCTGCCCATCTGACAACAGACTACAAGGGAATTCAAATGCTAATTTGGAGCCAGGCTTCTCAATGGGCCTTTCTTTCTGCAGCAGCACCAGGATCAGAGCTCTGGGGAGGCAGCCGTTTGGAACTGTGAGGATGCAGACTCCAGAGAGGGACTGTGGGACACTTTCTCCTCTTCATTCCTCACCTTCGTTTTGTTACCCCTTGTCTTAGTTTTACTTGTTTACATGCAAGTGACTTCAAGGGCAAGGAAAAAGAAAGGCAGGCACAGGGGAGTTGTTGAAGTGAAATTCCCTCGGTAGTGACCCATTTTATTTGCTGAGCCTGCAGAGGCCTTGCCGTCAATGCCACAGCATTTTGGGGGTTGTCTGTTACCGTACGCTCGTTCCGAGCTCTGTATGCATCAGCACCACAACCAGGGAGAACATTATGGGCAGTAAGATCCAGAAGCCTGTTGAGCTGAGTTAACACAGATCTGCTGGGGATGTAACGGACCAAGACCAGAGGAAGCAGTGCTTTGCTCAGGGGGAACTGGGGGGTGGAAGTGCAAGAGCACAACCCTCACTGGAGAGACTGAGATGGGCTGGGGTGGCTGTGGCTGAGCCATGTCATACCTGTGGTTTGAGAGCTGCTGTGTTTGGCTCAAACACCGTCACGGAGGAGCCACAGCGGTGGATGGAGCACAGGGTGTTTCAGACAGGCCAGTGAGAGCAGGCCCCTCGCCTGCAGGCAAGTTCTCCCTTCACATTAACCACAGGCCACAGCCCTGTGCAGTAAAAAACATTCCTGCATTTGATAGTGGGGTGAAACCTAAGCAAAACCAAAGCTATCTGCCACTTTGTATGTTAGCAGGTTGGGAGGAAAATCCACACCTTGAGGATAAAATTTGCTTCATTCTCATCAGTTTTCTACTTCCTAGCAATTACCACTCACAGGAGAGCACCAAGAATTCACCTTTCCCCAGGTGAGGGCAGAGCCACAGTATATATGAGATGAACAGGGCTTAACTTGCCACTTTGAAAATGCCCTCCCTCCAAAGGAAAACTCACACTCCTGCTGTGGTAGCTGAGGGAAGAGCATGCCCAGCTCCAGCCCCCACCAGTGCTGTGCCAGACTCGTGTTCAGGGACTAAAAGTAAAAGTCAGGTAGGGAGAGCAAAAAGGTCAGCACTCAGGAGGACTCACAGAGCACTTGTGGAGTGAGAGAATAAAAGATCAGTGTCTGAGCATGTGCATCAGCCACATTGCTTTGACGTTACACTGCTTGACAAGAGAAAGCTGGATGACCCCAAACTAAGGCAACATTGCCTGCAAGGGGTGGAAGTCAGGGATCATCATGGCCAGCGAAGATGAAAACAGTGAGCTGCTGTGGTCAGTGCTTCTGAGCCTGCAGTTGGTGAGGGGCTAAAATTGGCTGTATTTCATGGATGTGTGTGACCAAGATAACAAGAGCTCAGGACTGTTATCTGCCCTGATACAGCTCCAACAACACACGCTCCCAACACCGGACTGAGTCGCCCCAACACCGGATTGGGTCGCCCCACTGTGAAGTATTTACAGCTTTGCAGCCCCTTGTCCTTCTGGGAGGGTGTGAGGAAATGCAGACAAGG